CACTTTTACAAGGTCTTGTTCCGTTCAACGTTACAGCCTCAAGATTTATCGAGTGATCGTACATATGACACAAAAGTGATTTGATCAGGAAGCGTACAGAAACCCTACCTGCATATTACTTAGCAATAGATTAAAGCCAGGGGCTGATTACGAGTGAGTTACAGAGGTCTTCGACATTTTCACATAGCTGTCGTTCTGAGGTTATGCTGCCTCTGGCACTGCCCTGTCTGAAATCATGATAAAGGCGATATAAACAATCAGACCTGTTGAAATTACCCTGAATTTGACTAGTATTAATCGGTGCCTCAGACTACGGTCGCCTCTGACCATTGCGCCACACCGTGTTTGTTCAGTCGGCCCGTCTTTAAAGCGTTGGTTTAGCAGGCTTTTTTTTTCGATCAGTGTCGGAAGCTGCCTTGGCCAGCATTGCCCTTTACACAGTGAGTAGCATCGGCGATAGAAGCGACCCCGCTGATTTCTATCTATCCGTTTTAATTGAATTGCGTACACGATGCGTAGGCGTCTGCGCGATCGGATAATCAAGCAATGGGTTGTTCGTGGCGCAGCAGTCGTTGTCTACCTACCTACAGGTAAGCCTAGCCTCGGCGGCATTCACGTCGCCGCAAACGAGCAACAGGCCGGAAGTCTGAGTGATCCGAATGCCGTCGCGAATTACAACGAACTGTTCTGCCTAACCGGTAAGACGGGTAAGTAATCCTTAAATGGTCTGATAACAAATCAGTTATATCAGCGGTGACAAACGACCCTTCAGTCCATGGCATGCATTGGTCCTGTATGTTAACAGTTTCTCGCATCAGTTAGTTTACCAATCGGTGGCGATATTACATTTAACGCAAGCAAGAAACGAAAATACGGAAAAGCTCATTTACAAATGACAGTACTCATTACACTGATAGGGAAAATCTGTCGAAACTTAATTATGAATTATCTCGATAGCCGTACGACTTTTATAGTGGTCAATGACAAAGACAGTAAAGAATATTCTACTTAGTCTCAAAGGCAGTTTGTGATGATTCGGTAACAGTTCAGTAGTAAGTAGGTCTCCTTGCGCCAGTTACTCGTAACTGTCATCTATGGATGTTCTCGATGCTACTTAATCCGTTAATCTTTCCCATAATCAGTGGTTTATCTAAGCAACTTGACGACGTAGTATTCGATCCACTGGAAATGTCGAAAATTTCACTCAGACAGGACTGCTCATAAGCATTTACAAGATTTTCAATACGTGCAATGCTTTTTGATATCCTCAATTTGAGTCGACTTAAAATCTCTTGCTGGCTTGGTGTCGATGACTGTCATTCCTAATCTACGTCTTTCTTGATCGTCCAGCAGTTTTTCTTTGCACCTTACAAAAATCACTAAACGGGCGTTGTGATAAATCGTTTGCCCGTATGCTTCGCCGACAGTGATCCCCAATCGAGCGATATTCGTTTCTCGTAGCGATAATATAAGTACATCGACTTTGTACTCCCTGTCAAGATAGGCTCCGACACTTGTGTGGCGGTGAAGAGTGTTTTCATGTCTTTTACCAGATCCCTGCAAATCATACAAAATTATACCGTTCCGCGTTTCTTGTCCCGTTTGCCTCTTTCTGCCCTAAGCAATGTCTCTTACGAACGCAAGAAGCCTCTCTAGGGACCTCGTTTGCGAGGTTTTCACTCTCGATGTTGTAAAACTTCTTCCTCATTTTCGAAATGCTTTCCAAAATGCTGTTTTCCTGATTGCCAATGTCAACGTTTATATCGCGGCTGGACTTTTTACCAACGTGGCAGTACTTTATTAGTGCTGTCCTTCGTTCATTAACGATCTGTCAAAAAGAACGTAAAGTTTTTGGAAAATTACAGATTGTTTTGCTCTGTGGACGCTGATGAATTTATGACGCAACGAAGGCAGATCAGTAAGCTCATTCATTCAGTCGGGAATAGCGGTAGTCTTAAAGAATGACTTCGAGACTTCCGGCGGCTGAGATGAATGCTAATGGCCACTATGTGACAAGCGAATATTCTTCTTCTCATCGCGTTGTATCGAAGATGATGTCGGGCACTGCAGACTCGTGTGTATTTAAGATAGCTAATTAAAGAGGTGGAAGGAAACGACTTCAAATGAATTAAGAGATTTGAGTGTTACTGAATTTTATGTTATCTCTTTTAATGAATTCGCTTTGGGAGAGATGACAAAGAAATGTGATGCCAGTGGTTTGAGGGGACGAGGGTGACTGAAGTGAATCATACTGTTGTCATGCGTTTAGCACTGCATTCTGAATCAGGCATCTGAAATGGAAGGTCGTGTGCGACACCAAGCTGCATGATTCAAACTTTTTTGGTCTATTTAAATGTTTGCAGGTAATCATCTTACCCCGTGATTCGTTGTGTCGAATATGCCCTGCTGACGTTGTACAACGACTACTATCGGGCAGTCCCCAGGGCTTGTTTAAATTGCACAAGGTCGCTCACTTAACAAATGTCCAACCTGCCAGTTGGCATTTGTCATCACTTTTAAGGTGGCAAGTGCATCGGTGTCAAAGTACGAAGGTTTTGAGGTTAATGGCTGTTTGGTTCGTTTGAAAATACCCGTTTTCTTAAAACTTCTGGCCTGTTTATCAAATAGAACAGACAACTAGGGTAACTCTTCCAGGAACAACGTTGAATTTTAACTGTTATACCGACGGAAAAATTGATGGTTGCTTAACCTCTTAGCTTTCAGTTAAATCGTCAGTGCTTCATTGGTTCGGTACTTATGGACTGCTCTTGATCTCTTCCTCAACAGTCCCTCGTTGGCTATACTTGCTTGCCATATCTCACGTTAAATCGGAAACGCTAAACAACATTAAAGTAGTAAAACAGCTGCTTTCTTTTTCATATTCGTCGATTAGGTATAGGAGCTGCTGTGCTGCTGAAGCTTCGTGATTTTGTTATGCATGTATTATTATTATGTGATCTAAGGGAGAGGAGTCAAGCATACATCTGGGTGTTCGTCGACCGCTTTCGGTTTCTTCGTCATGGTTTTTTGTCCATCATCATTGACAGTTGTCAGAGGACAACGGATGTTTATCTGCGGAAGTACTTGACTCTCTTGGCCATGGCGGTGATCTATCGCACCGCAGGCAGAAACTTGTGTTAATTACAACAGTTCGTTTGCTTCAATCACTCATTAACGACGATTGTCTTCCTTCCTTCTAACTTTCTTCCCTTGACACATGAGTCGATTTTCTGTTTTCGACAGTCAGGTTTTATCCGTTGTGGTAGGTCGGTACTCTGGCGACTGACGTAGACCGGCGAAAAGCTACTCCGTGCAATTTGCGTTTCAGTCAGTCAGTCAGTTGCCGATGGGTCGGTTTCTGATGGTCTGTTTTCTCTTGTTTATTCTGTTTTAAATCGCCTTTATTTTTCGGATTCGATGTTGTGAATAGAAAAAGATTTACGCAAACTCAAAGATTCGCGTCAAAGCAAAACTGTCCAGATTTTTGGTCCGTGTAATGTTTCTGTTGTTTTTCTGACAGAACGTTTATATACACTGGAGCTCTCAATTACCTAACTCTGTCGAACGTGTTTTTCAACGTTCTTGCCTTTATTACAAGCCCATATCCTACCTCAAATATCATATATCTGATCATGCACAGCCAAAAGTAAATGAAAGAGAAGAATAGTGGGTGTCTTTAAAAAAAACATTTAACAGCTTTTCGCTGGTGTCGGCTTAACGTCTCTTGTATATGCGTCTTCCGCATGCCTGATTCAGTGGTTTCAGCTACCGTCGCTTCTTAGACTTAAAGGGATGGCTCCGAAGCAAGAACCGATAGGTCCTGGGTTCGAGCCTCGGTCGAGTCATTCGCCTTTCTTTCTTAGAGGTTGATAAATGATTACGACTGTGGGAAAGAAACAGCAGACTACACGCTACGCTAGTGAAATGACTGCTGTCGACTGCATTTAAAATAGCACACTTATGATCGATGACATGGAAAGACAGATCAGTGCTCCACCATCAATTTAATGAAAAATGGGGCGCCTGAAATGGCCAGATCATAGAACCGTATGGAAGACCGACCATTTCAACGGTGGACAAGCATTCCTTTTACTTTCTGTCGGGTCTACCATAACGGTGCTTGATTTGTCTAGTATTCGGCTGAATATAATTTGATGCTTGTGATTAATACGCAGTCCCTATGTTCTCCGGTTAAATGACATGAAGCAATAAATACCTTTATTTTAGTGCAGGGTAAATAATGGGTTCGTTTGAAAGTCTTTTATCCAGTTTCTGCTACTAGTGTTCTTTCCTTTGCTTCTTTAAATGGCACAGATGTCCCATAAGTCTCTCAGAACTAGCCAGTGGTTGGATACGTATTTTTTTAGCTTTTTCTAGCCGACCATTTTAGGGTTTATCCGAGGTCTTGCGACTTCATTTGTAGAGGAAATCACAAGTCATGATCGTTTTTCGCTCTACACATTACTGACGATCACTTGCGCTTTTTTATGGCTTATGCAGATATTGGCTTAAGGAATAATGACTGCCAGTAATCCGGTAGTGAACATGGCAAAGCATGATGTCGTCTAACGCATACACAGCGAATGACCTTTGGAACTGTGAAAGGTAGCACTAGGTATCGGAAAATCGATCAGTCAACGGTCTGTTACCTTATTCAATGAAGTCATCTGCAGAAACCACCATCTCTAAAGACAGTAAACGTAGCATGTCCAACAAAGCAGTGCCTAAGACCTAATCTCAATACCATTATAATAAACATGCCATAGAATATTAGAACCTGGGCACGTGGTTGAAACTGAATGGCTTGCCGATTCGTAGTTGAAGGCATCTATCAATGCTGATGTTCACGCTATTATCAATGTATGCGGTAGCATAGTCATGGCACAACTGATACGACAGTCAGTCAGCCGCCATGCACAGAAAAAAATATATCGATTTAAAGTGAGTGACAGATTAACGCAGGATTTTAACAAGTGTATTCACTCTTTATGTGTTAATCTTAACCGCTGATTACGCCATTCAAAATATTTTCTTATCAGATTGGTGATAGCACTCAGCTATCACATAACACAATAGACGTCGTGCACACAATGACGTATTTTTATATGTATAAGGTGATTTGCTCTCCGCTGTATGAACTGTGCACTACTAATAGTCCAGAATGCGTAGCGAGACGTGTTAGGAATTAATACTTGCGTTGTTTGATGCCCTGATCCATCAGTCAGAAAGCCATCTGCACTATTCTAATGTACTCTCTCTCCTGAAGGGTTTCTTGAAGTCCCGAAAGAAATGGCATAATTGACGGTTAGATACATAACTTCGATTAATCTGTCTTCGAATTATTTATGTACATATATGTGCCTATCAGAGTACCCTTATTAACTTAACGCTACGTGTCTTAAAGTCGCATTTGATTCGTTACATCGTCTGATGACGTCAAAAATCTTGAAATACTATGGGATATCTGAGCACATCGTTTCCATTGTGGAAGAGGTGTACGTAAGAATCATATCAACTGACAGGGTTGAAGGAGAGCTATCTGAGTGATTCCTCATTAACTGTAGAGTTCACCAAGGATATTTTTTTCGCCTTTGCCGAACAACGTTGTTCTTTTCTTTCTTTTTCTAAACAGTGCTGACCCTCACAGAGACGAAGGTCTCATTCTAGATGGAAAGCGTAGTTCAATATATCTCACTAGATATCTTACTGACCAGGAGTATACAGATGTTCTGTTGACTGGTACATGCAGCGAGCTCTGTCACTTGACAACTTCTATGTGCTACGCGCCGGCGAAGATCGGCCTCTTACGTAACTCCCGGAAGGCAAACGTTATGAGGAATCCATCCGGCGCGGCTCATATTTCCCATTGAAATACGAAGATTAAGTCCTTCAAGAACCTGACGAGTTTAAGTACCGCAACTTGATTATCAACAACAGTGGCACCCTCGTGGCAAAGTTAAATAGGAGTGTCGCCCAGGCCTCTGGTGCTTTTGAAAATCTGTCCAATACTTGAGACGAGAAAACGGTTACTCTTCCGACGAAAATCTGCCTTTATCTTGCCTCTGTCAGATCATCGTTGTTGTGCGGCACCGGAGATAGTTGTTGTAACGCAGGAGCAGGAATGACGAGAGAACGATGAACGACGTTGTCTTCAGCGCATAATGGGGGGGGGGGTTAAATGG